GGAGTTGTAGGGGTGGTGGAGGTGGAGGTGGAGGTGGGGATGGATTAATTATTTTATGGTAGAATTAAATATTAATAATAAATTAGTTTAGTAATTATTATTTTATAATTAAAAATTTTAAAAAAAACATGAATTTTGAAATTTGAAACATGTTTTGAAATTTTTGAAATAAGTAAAAGTAAAAGCATGATTTATGTAATCTTCCCATTTGAATATGTTGAGTTGGGTCCGTTTTATCAATCTGGACGCTCAAATCGCATGCAAAAATTGGAGATGAATGTTGAATAATTTGACGTGCAATTTTAACATTTGCATTGGTGATTCTGGTCACTTGAAGATTCAAATATATAAACTTAAATAGGCCAGAGATCCAAATTCTCAATTTTAAAGATTGAAGACCCATTATTACTGAAAAATTGAAGAGTCAAGCTCTAATTTAACCATTACTTAAAAATTATTATTTTCATTTTTTAAATACATTTTAAACTTAAAATAACGAAATAAATATAATAATAATAATAATAATAATAATAATAATAATAATAATAATAATAATAATAATAATAATAAGAGTTCAAGACAATAATGTTCCCAACAGGACACGAGAAATTTTGTGAATGACGATTGAAAATAGTGGAATGAAAAAAGTCTGGATAATACAACATTTTCGAGTGTTTTTTATTGCAAGTATGAAAATTGTATGAAATTAAACAATTGAATTGTCTAAAACTTATTTGCATGATAATTGTCAATTACATATGTTTGATTGACTTAATTTTCAACCTAAAAAAATGTTTCACTTTCTCATAAATTTTTAGAAAGTGTTAATTGCCTAGAAAATAAAAACCTACCCCTCATAAAGAAAATGTTTTCCTCAAAAAACATAATTACATGACCAACTTTTGAAAAATATTTTTTATGAAAAAATATCAATCAAACAATCCAAAAGTAAAAACTCGAGCGGAAAAGGATATTTTCCATGGCGAAAAAAAAGAGCCAATGTGTCATTATCCACCGTTTGGCCCCCATTAAATTAAAACTTATTTCTCTCTTATTATCAATCTTACATTTTTCAAAAAAAATAATATTACATTAAACCAAATTTTTTTTTACCCACATATTCTTCAAAAAATTATTATTCCCCTCATTAAAACATGGAATAATGGAGCCCAAACAGGGGCTACACTAATATACAAAGAGGATTGCACACTTGAACAATATACAAGAATTGATTGTGCTGATTTGAAAAAAATTTCACAACTTCGATTTTTCTTTGTGGACACTGAATATGTTTGGGAATGGAATATACTCCATTATGGTTCAAATAGATCAACACTGAAACCACCATCTTCTTCATTTTTGAAGTCTCAAATTGCTACTGCTATTTGCCAATCTCAAAGTTGTAGAAACTACGATTACAAGTGAGAAACAACGCCATCATGCTTGCCCTAGCA